TATTTAAGATTAAGTTATAATTTTAAAAGATATGATCGATCATGAAATGTTAGGATTAATACCGTATTTTTTATGATCGTTCACAGGTGTTTGTGATCGATCATGACCTCCCTTAAACAATAATAATTTCTCATTTCAAAATTATAACATTATCATACAAAAATAATAACCGATGTTACCAATACCAAAAAAATCATTTTTCCCTAGCGTAGAGTTTTCCTGAACACCAATTCTTCCTTCCAAGAGGTTATAATTGTGTTAAGTCATGCAAACCAGTGTACAGTGAATTGATATTTTTCAGATCTGGATCAAGTGCTACCTATCTATTATTATGGTGGGTCCAACCAGCAAGAACTTTTGATACACAAAAGCAAGGGCAATATTGACCCATTAGGATCAAACCAATTTTGCTTTGCATGGAATCATTCACAATCATCCAAATTTGCATATGTAGAAAGTGGAAGAATGCCCTGTTTTCCGCGTCCCATGAGTGTTTGTCAACATAACAAGCATTAACTCTTTACTTTCGGGTGGTGTGGGGTGGGGTGGGTGTTTCATTTCATAAGAAAGGTAGAAACTCACATGGGTCGGTTCAAACTCATGACATTGGTCAGTTCAGTAGTCGAATAAAAGAAACAACGAAACATAGATTCGTCTGTCTTGAATTTGAGCTTCCTAATCATATAAACTTTAAATTTAATTGATACGTATAATTTACAAGTAATTGTATATATCTAAAATTTATGTTATAACCATGAGTCTGAATGAAATCGTTGCTAGAAAATGTTACTTAAACTTAATTGTGGGACATAATTCAATATAATTATTGGATTGGTAATAAGTTCCATTTAATGTTGAAACTTGCAACTAATTTAATGACTGCATTAAATTAGATCATTGGTTCGGTCCCCAAATTAAGTCCCCATAACATTGTTTGTTGTGTCTGGAATGATTTTTCATTGCCAAAAGAAAAAGAAATAGTAATATAGTTTATTGGTTTATTCATTTTTCACTTATATTTTCTTCTTCCATTGAAATTCCCGATCGGTATAGCTATTTCTTTATTCATTTATCTTTTATTTATCGAAGAACGAGAAATTAAAAGTGCTAAAAAATGGACCATGAACATCGATTATATGAGAGCTCCTCATCTTAGTGCCACTCAAGTTGTGGAGTGCAAAAACAACTAGAAAGAGTAGGACAAATGGAATCTAATTTAATACATTTGATCCTATATCTAGTTCATTTCTCTTAATCTTCAATCCTTGGTTAACGAGAACCAAAACAAATGTAAATCTTTTTAAATTAGTTCTATTTTAAAAAAAAAATAATTGAAAAAGTTAGATGCATTTGGATGGGCATACCCTTTGAAAAACTCAATCTACCATATAGATATGGTGTACCTATCTCAAACAACTACTCTTTCAATTGTATCAAAAGTTAATTAAAGCATAAAATGTGAGAGAGACCAACAAAAGTAACCACAAGGAAACGCTAGTGGTAGAATCTTATTAAAAATTATAATTTTTTAAGATTAAGTTATAATTTTTTAAAGCTAAATTACAATTTTTTTAAAGTATAAACTATAATTTTTTAAGGTGTAAATTACAACTTTAAATGACATAATTGATCATGAAAAGTTGGGATCGATACCAAGAGTTCATGATCGAACATGAGTGTTTGTGATCAATTGTGACTTTCTCTTGAGCAGTTGTAACTTTTTTTTAAAAAAATTGTAATTTTACTATAAAAAGTAGTAACCGACAGTACTGATATCAAACAACTTTTTTCGGTACCATAGAGTTTTCCCTTTTCTTAATACTATTTGAACATAATAAACTAACTCAATTTGCTGACTTAATAATATGTTAAAGTGATAGAATTTTAATAAAAAAGTTCAACAGCTATCATCCTAGTAATTTTATCAACACGCTTATGTTGTCTAAGTCATAGCCCAAAATCTTGTATCCCAAATGTATGTGCATTATACATTGCACTCTGTGGGTTCCATATAATTATTTTTTATTGAATGTGCGATACATATGCATTTAGAATATAAGATTTGGGCTAAGACTTAGATATTATAATATTTTTCTAATTTTATTAGATTATGTCACTGTTTAATCATTAAATTAATAGATTAAATTATTTTTTTTAAATTTCAATAGCTTTTATTTTGCTGAAAATATAAAAAAGAATCTTATTAGATGCTCATTGGCCACGTGTTAGACGGTGGGGGTGGGGTATGGGATGGAATTGCTTTTGTCTTTGATTTAAAAATCTTGTGGGATTCTGGAAGAAACGATTCCTCTGCAACGAACGAAAAAGAATGAGCACAAGCTGTGAGGAATCTGATGCGTTCGTTCCCAAAAGTTTATCAACACGTGTCAGTATCTTGGTGGGGATGGGCACCATGTGTGAGATTCTTTTTATCTGGAAGATCCATAAGGGCAAATTCGATAAAACACTTTAAAAATTTGTTTTCCTATAGAGAACCTTTCATGTGATAAAGATACCTCTTTTTGACGTGGAGGAAAAATAAATAATGATAATTAGTTTGAAAATATTTTATTTATGGAATCGTACTCTTTTGTTTTTTATGCATATATCAATAGAACAGAATTGTAATAAAGAATCAACCGTTATAATAGTATAACTATGTTTTTATTTTTTGAACGGGAAGAAGAGAGAAGGAAAGACCAGTAGGTAGTAATTCTCTTTGAGTGTGACCATGAGAGTCTCTTATTATGGAATGTCTGATTTGAGTCATAACTATTAATTTAGAAGAATAGTCTATCACTACAGCACTACCAAAACTAAACAACAAACAATTCTATTTTCACGAATCAAACTTCATTTGATAATCACTTAATAGTCAAAAATGACCTTTAACAAATACGATTTATCATTAAACTATCAGCTACACATTAAGAAAAAACACTCATGGAAGGGTGAAGAAAAACTCCAAAGAATGGCAATATCATTGTCCAAGGAGGAGCATACAAGAAATGAAGTATTGCCTTTAAAAAAAACTGACTCACTTAAATCTCTTGGTCGATAGAATGTTCAAAGAATCAAGGGTGGCCATGTTGGTTTGCACTCGAACCCATGATCAATCATTAGATTTGAAATTCAATACTATTCGAATAACCCCATTAGAACTAAATTTTAGTAAATAATATACGAATTTCTACTTAATTTCATCAAATAATTCATTAGTTTCATTTTAAAGTTAAAAAAATAAGTGCCAGATTTTCTGACATATCTGAATCCAAACCTTTTGAAATTGACATAAAAAGAGAAAACATTAGCTTATTTATAAAATTTGTTGATAGCTCTAAAGCATTCAAGACCATTACACTTTATTTTAAACGATTCGAGTGTGAATAATTTTTTTAGATTCGTTCAAAAAAATAAGTCTAATAAGCTCGATTCGAACTCTCAAAACTTGACTTATTTATATGTAAAATAGTATACCTATTTAAACTCGACTTATTTTCTAAAAAAATTGAACTTAAATAATTTTTTTTGACTCGTTTAGAAATGAGTTTGACATATTCGATTTGAATTCTCACAAAATTCGGATAGAGTATGAGTCTGTAAAGGGTATCACCCTCCACGAAGGATTTTGGTTGACCTGGTGTCTAGACCATTCAGTAGCCTTTACCTGTCGTCCCACATCGAGAGAGAGTCGTTTCCCCTCTTGCGATTTAAGTCTTCTCAACGTATGAAGGAGATACCCACTAGCACGTGCTAGTGGATACCTTCTCTATAGTAAGTGAAGACTTATATGGTATTGGGGGAGAGGATTCTCTACCGATGTGGGACTAGTTCTCAATGGGACGAGAGATAAAAATTATTGGGCCTAAACCCAGGTTAAATCCTATGTCGAGAAAATATTTTCCTTACAGAGCCCATAATCAAAAGAGTGATTTACCACTCCGATAGATCCATAGGTCTATGGCCATAATGCCAAACTTCCCTTCTTGTGTTTACTTTTTGAGGAATATCTGGTGAAACTGTTTTTGCATTTAAGGCATTGTTTAAAAGTGCGCTAACAATCACAAAGAATCTGATTACATTAATCCCCAAGCAACTTCCAAAATGCACATGTAAGGGCAAAACTGACAACAAAACAAAGACAAAGGTCATCCTTATCAAAAGAGCACTGTTGAATAGAAAGACCAGATTGCCCACAAAAGCACAATGTATGTCCACCAAACCAACGTGTCGTATTATCAGCCGTTACAAAACGTACAAAACGTCATTAACTCAGGTATCGAGCGACTCACAAAAATACAAATTATTATTATCCGTTACAAAACGTATCAAGTTTCATTGATTCAATTACAAAATGACTCCTAAGAACGCATATTATTATTGTTGCAAAATGTATTAAGTTGCACTTACGTATTAAATTTCGTTGACACAAATAAAAAACAACTCATAAAAACGCGTTCAAATTGATTGATATGCAGATAAGGTCAAATAAGATATATTTACAAGCTCATAACTTTGTAGAAATAAATGTAGAACTTGGTTGGGTAAAAACTCATTACTATCCTAGGATTATATGACCAATCAAGTAATTCCAATCTCCATGTCAATCTTATTCTTGAAATAAAGATAAATCAAATTTATTCTAAAATTAATTAAAACCAAGTTTCGTACCATTCAAGTGCTAGATTATCGATTTTTGATAATAAAATATAGGTTATTTAGAACAACTTACGAAACTTGTTTTTATTTTATTTTATTTTGAACAATACAAAACTTGGGTTAAAAAGGTCATTGTATCGCATATCGTACTGAGTCGATTGAACCACATTTTACTGAGTTGACTGGATATGCGGAAACCCGAAAGTGAAAACCACGAATCTTTCTTTGACCGGAGAATCACATCGCCTGTTTGACAATTCCAATTTTGCCCTCCTCGTATCATCAGAGCACTGCATCTATAAATCAGAGTCTCTGTGTTAGGCTGCATGTTTATTTGAGCAAATCAATGTAAAAGAGCAGTAAAAATACTGAGAGAGAGGAAAGGAAAAATGGGTACAATAGATTTGAATTCAGTTTTTGTCCCAAAGACCATTGCTGATATTCTCACTGAAGTTTCCATGGTCGATGATACTTCCAAGAAATTATCAAAGCTCAACGATTATGTCCATGCATTACAAGATGAATTGAAAAAGATCGATGCCTTTATATGTCAACTTCCTCTCTGCATGCATCTCTTAAACGATGGTCAGTTCATCTCTCTCTCTCTCTCTCTTTAGGTATAATTAAATTTTAGTAAAATTTGTATTTGAGTTTTTTTTTTTCGATATCTGTTTTTGGGTCTACAGCAATTGAGAGATTGAAGGAGGAGACAATGCACTGTATGGAAGCAAATGCTCAGCCAGTGACAGAGCCATTGAAGGGTAATTCGAAAGAAGATGGAGGGGTAGAAGCGTCAAGTGATTCCGATGATAAGAAGAACTGGATGAGCTCTGTTCAGCTCTGGACCGCTCCTCTTGACTATGAAAATTCTGACATCAAAAGACGAGACCGTTCATCGAACCTGAAATCGGTAAGAATTTCATATACACAAACACACTAAATATCGATAATTTAATTTGGATATTTTATAATTTCTTTTGGATTGTTCGATTTTCAGAGAAATGAAGAAGAGAAAGGCTCTGCAAAGAATTCACATCAGTTATGCAACAAAAGGAACAGGGGAAAGGCATCTGTTCTTCCATTGAAGAAACACAAGGAGATTTCTTCATCTCTTGATGGTTTATCTCTCTCCATTCCGGTGACCAAAATGAATGGTTCAATTGATTTGAACTTGAACTGCTTTGATTCATCACACAGCAACCCACAGCAGAAGAAACAGAGGCGTTGTTGGTCGCCGGAATTACACCGGCGATTTGTGAATGCACTTCACGAACTTGGAGGAGCACAAGGTAAGAAAATAAAAAATAAAAAAAACTAAATCTGAACTTCAACTTATTGTTAAACTGTTCTGTCTATTTGTAAAATTTTGCTCTGAAGTTGCAAAGTTTTGGGTTTGTAAAGGGAATTTCATCGGTCTCTGGTTGTTTAACACGCTGGTTTTTTTTTTTTTTGGTTGGGGCTAAACAATAAAACATGGATAAATACGGGTACCAAAGATAGTTACTTGTTTTTTCTCCTAATTTGTGTCATGTTTTTTTTTGGGTATGATTTGCAAAATTGAAAACTTTGAATTTTCATCAAGGATAAATAAAATAAAAAATTTTCAACAAAAAAAAATATACTCACTTGTATATCATCGGTAATTAAAAATTCTCTGAAATAATTTAATATATTATATTACCAATAAATAGGGTGAGAAACAAATTTGAACATTAATATATAGAAATAAAAAGTTTTATGCCACCAACCCACAACTATTTGCAACCAATATTTAATTTCAAATGACAAAACAAATCAAAGCGGAAGAATGGAGGGGATTCTCAAATGCTGAAAAGGATTCAATAACTTTGAAAGAATTGAACGAGGAGCTGTATGAAATAAAAATCTCATTTACGGTTTTGAATATGAATGTTTGACCCTTATGTCGAACGGGAAAAGTACAATCTATAAATTGAGAGTGGGGTGTTGAAGGATTCTGAAAATATTAGATCTGCACATGCACAAGCAAATTATTGATAAAACTCCAAAATTACATTTTTTTTTTTGATTTAAAAATGGGATCCATTTAACATGAATAAACACCAAGACAATGAAAATTACAGTGAAACCACGCCTGAAAAATATCTGTTTGTTTATTGATTTGGTTTTTTTTGTAGGGGTAAAGTTTTCAGCGTGGAGATTTTCTCTTTCATGTACTACCAATATTTATGTTGCAGAATTGGTCTCTTTGTGTGTCTATTTTGCAGCTGCCACACCCAGACAGATTAGAGATCTGATGCAAGTAGATGACCTAACCAATGATGAAGTGAAAAGCCATTTGCAGGTATACATTTCAACCTGAGATTTCCCTTCAAAATTCTCAGAATGTCGGCCAAGGGACGAAAGCCCTATGAACCTGTGATTTCCCTTCAAAATTTCCCATTTCTTGGCTTCTTTCTTTTAAATAACACGATGTTCTATGTTTGAACCTCGTTGTCATTCTAATTATTAAAAAATTTTACATGTTAGGCCCAAAATCTAGCTTGCACGTGAGGAACACTTAATTTAAACCTTCTACAACTTAAACTTTTAGAATAGATGATTGTTTAACATAGTATCAGAACTTAAAAACTTAAGTTTGGAGGGTATAATTTAAGTATTTTTATTTTAACGCATGACATATTATGATAATGAATTGTTGTGTAATTGCAGAAATACAGACTCCATGTCCGAAGAATTCCAATTTATTTAGCAGCTCCATCGAATGGCTTCTCGATGGACCAAGATTGGTGTGAAGGTCATCAGTACAGCTCCCCGGAAGGCCCCCTCCATTTGGCGGGGTCTTCAAAGGGTGTTTCCTTCACTGGTGGCGATAGCATGGAAGAGGTTGAGGATGAGAAATCGGTTGATAATGCAGTATAGATGGACCCACCAGATACATATATAGAGAAATCAGATTGTGCGGAAAACAAACAGCAACTTCTACAGGGAAATCCTGAGGTCTTTTTCCTAAAAGAAAAGCTTAGACTTAGAGAGAGAGGCGATGAAAGTAGGTGAATTTCATCATTTTCTCTCGTTTATTGAGCTTAACATCTCTGCCTGCTTTCACATGAGGAAGTTGATGTAGCTTCCATCGGTGGATTTTGAATGAATTAGGACAAAAACATAACCATTTTTAAATGTCTGAACTTATCTTGGTTGTTGTTCACTAACATAAATTTTGAGTTCAAAGTCCATTGTTCTATGGTTCATTTTTCTTTTATTAGAGGGTGTTCAAGTTTACATTGGTAGGTGACTATTGTAATTTGAGCTAGGTTAGAGCATGTCTCTAAAGGGACAAGAAGGGTGGCTAGCCTTTAGGGGGTGTGAAGAGATTGAACCTAAAACTTCTAAATTATCAGAGAATTCTTGTTATCTTTTATTTACGTTATTTCTCTTGGAAGTATAACATGTTAAAAGGAAGATAATGCATTAGTTTGAGTATAAATGAATTTATTAACCTACTACCCGCTAACCTAGTAAAACGGATTTTTTTTTTCTTCCCGAATTGAGTATAAATGAATTTAATACATTATTTTGATTTTCCAGAAATAATTGCATAGCTGACTTCCATGGGTTTTTGAATAAATTAGGGGCACATATGTAGTATCACAATTAGATGTAAATGGGAATATCCCGACTCTAAACCATTTTGACTCTTCCAATGAATTAATTCCTCAAAAAGATGAGAGATTATATCAATGGAGCTTATTAAATAAATGAAGGATTGATGATAAATTTAACGTAGAATGAGTCAAACTTATATAATTTTTTAGGTTTAAAAGAATTTTTATATCTTATTTTAATATGATTGAGTTAAATTATACAACATAAATATTAATTTACACTTTTTGGTCCATATTTTTGTTGAGGTGGAATGGTATTGGCTTTATTTTTCATTAATAATTTAGTCTTGAATCTTCATCTTTAAAATTCAAAAATTTTCCTTTAAGATTTTGCCTCCTCTGGTATGGGATTCTCGCTCTGCCCTGTTTACTCCATTGCTTCATTTCTCCTTTTCCATGGAGCATTTTCAAACCACTGAATCAACCCTTTTTCTACTTTTCTTTTTGATTTTATTCTCGATTTGAGACTCTAGTTTTCAAGAATATATTAAAACACTCTTTGGAGTCCTTGTAAAAGAGACTATTTTTGTCATATCGTTGGTTGTCTTTTTTGATCGAGCGTAGCTTTTTCAGACCATACTCTTCTTCGAGCACTTTGACGATTCATTGAATCTTCTTAGATGAGGGTGTTCTTATATGTTTGGATTTTCGTAAGTCGATAATAACGTCAGTTACCAAATTTTCTAATGAGATGAACATTCACATATGTGAGTCCTTATTTAGCTTAGCTCCACCCATTGGAGTTGATTGCTCCTGCTGCTCCAACTCCTTTCGAATGTCCTCTTAGTTGACCTCAACAACTTGAATTTAAAATAAAGGAGTAACAAGCTCCTAAGCTAGTGGTAGTGGCTCAGAAACTTTTGACACTGGGGGAGGGTTTGCTGCACCTCCATCGAATTGACCTTATCTGCCTCAAACTCGCAACTTGCAATGATGATGATATGAATTGAAATGAGAATACCCAGTAATGTTAGTATGGAATTAAAGAATAGCAGCACCAGGAGTTGAGAAAGGAGAGAAATAAAAAGATCTTCAACAATTTTAAGGGTTCGTGATGGGATGCAAGGTCTTTCACCAAATGAGCCAAGATTTTTAGGTAATTATGTATGCCTCAAATTCGACGTGGTGCTTCAAGTTTCAACTCAAATTCTCTATCTCTCTCTCTCTCTCTCTCACACACACATCCATCCAAAAGGCTGAAATAATTTTTGTTGACAAAAAACATCATTTGTATCTAATTTGAAGGCGTGGTTATTGGATGGAAAGTAGGTTTCATCTAATATTGAGATTGATTTAATGATTATAATGCATAAGGTCCCCAAATTAGGCCATGTCACATTGCTCTTTGACATAACTTGCTTTATATTGCCTTCTTCTATATCCAAAGCGATGCATAACCCTACTTAACATCCATGACTATCAGTATGAGACATCAAGTAGTGTTGTGCCTTGACTCGAACATCCTCAACGGGCAAAATCACTGAAATATTCTTTGTCCTAATTGCCAATGGGGTCAGTCTATCAAAAGGTGAAATATACTATGAGAGGTTGCAATTGTAGCCATATAGTTTTGAACCGAACCTAAATACCCATTGTGGTAAATCATAAAGGATGATGCTAAATTGACAAAAAAATAAGTTAAAATAACTAATTGATGCGACATTGACGCGACGATTCTTTTTCAGCCTATTTGTACTCATTTAAATTGTAAATATTCCGCACGGTATCAATTTCACATTATTTAATTCTTTTTTCCTATTTTTTAATAGTCTAGTGTTACCCAATCATAAACCCATTATCATATATCAACAAAAAGCGGTAATTGGCATGTTTGGTGTTTTGTTAGACCACTAATGATTATCATAGGAATAATTTTTTAAACTCTAAAAAGATTTGATTCGTACTCTTAAAACTTAATTCGTTTACATGTAAAATAGTTGAGTTTTTCGGATTCAGATTGAGTCAGACTCAGTTCTAAAAATGAGCCAAATTCGAATAATTTTTTAAATTTATTTTAAAAAATGAGCTCGATAAATTTGACCCGATTATCAGTCCGGTATCCTCGTTGCTTTCCTCTTTTCCCCCCAAAAAAAAATGCTGCACATCAATTTAACTGTTATGTGACACAAACATTTATTTGGGTCGAGCCTCCTGAGACCTTGATCCAAGCCCACTCCAACTGCTTAGGACACCTCATGAATGTCTCTCTCGAAGTTCTCGGACTTGTAGCTCAACTGCCTATTTCTAGCTCGTCTCTCTCCCTCTCTTCCTCTCACTTTATATAGGCATAGCTGCGCTTCCACAACGTCTCTCTGGTCTCACGGTATAATTCGTCTGACTCTCTAGGGTTTTCATTTTGCTGTTCTTATGGCAGTAGAGGTAGTAATTAGTTATCTAACTTTTGGGATACTGTCATGACTGCTTGTTTGTGTCTGTATGGCATGACCGTTTGTTTGTGTCTGTATGGCAATCAGTTTTCTGGGATTTAATCTCTTTTAGTCCATTTTATTACTTGAAAATAAGACCCTTTTGACAGGAGGTATGAGAGAAGTTGTGACTATCCAAGTTGGGAGTTATGCCAACTTCATCGGTTCTCACTTCTGGAACTTTCAGGTACAGTTTTCATATTAATGTGCACTTGATGTTCATGTTTGATTTTTGACATTGTATAAATCACCATGTTTGCAATTATACTAATATTCTTGAAGCGTAACTTGATGTCTTGCTTTTTTCTACTTCCCTTGTTTCACCGATCACCCGGCTATATCACCTAAATATATGGATATTATCGATGTGAGTTATAGAATTTTTGTAGACACGATTGAGGGTAAAACGATGTGTGTGACTCTTTTCTATGAAGCTGAAGCAATTTCACATGAACTCAGGTACAAAACATTGTACAGGACTTTTTACAAAAAATAAACAAAAGGGTTCATAATGCTGTATGGGTTTTTTTGGTCCCAATCAAATTCATCTTCTTTATCAAAATTTTCATGTAATTTAGGAAACATACCTGTTCCCCTGTCCTTTGATGCTAATGGGTTGCTCCTGACTCCAGAAGGAGGTAAAGTGTCGAGGTTAGAGGTTATGGCCTTCTAATGCGAAGGTTCTTTTTAGCATTTTCGTGTTCTGTTTTTCAGACTCTGTCAGAAAAGCAGGTTTGGTAGTTAATGCTGAATTGCTCGCTCCTCTAGTTGTTTGAACAGTTATATTTGATTCATGCTTGCTGGAGACAAGTGACACTCACAGTGACTTGAAATTTGGATTGCATATTATGTGGTGTGGAGGATTACCACTTTCGGCGTTGGTAAGGATTTGAGAAGGAATAGAAACCATCTTTTCTGAAACCTAGTGGTGTGGATCCTGAAGACTCTCTTGTCATACCAGATGTCTGAAATTTGTTCGGATCTGCTGCTAATTTAGAACATCTTGTTTTTTTTTCTTGCCAAAAATGACAAAAAGCGGATATGCAATATTATTAGCTAAGGCCAAGTGGAGGTTTAGCAAGGGTTTTATAGCAATGGTATGGTGGGTGCTTGTTCATTTGTATGGTAATTTGCAGGGGCTTCACCTTCTTGCTTGCAACCTGATAAAGGTTTTTTTTTTCGCTTACTCTTTTATTCTAATGTTTTGGGCTTCACATATGATCTTTTAAGTTGACAAACTCCTGGCTTCATGAAACTACTTTCTGCTTTATTTAGTATTGTTGAGTTCATCTGTGTGTTGCCAATATGTGCTGCACTGGTTGAATTATCTGCTTTTCTCATAGCAAACACTACATTGACCTCATGTGCTCAATGTTGAAGGATGAATTGCTTGGATTGGCTGAGGACCCTCAGAGCAATGAAGTGTTTAAGAGTCACCATCTTGATATGGATGTGCTCTACCGTTCTGGTGAAACACCACAGGTGACATAATCTAATCATTTTTTTTTTTAAATTGCCATACTTTTTAATTCTGTAATTTTTTTGGTCTATGCTTTAATGAAAGATTCCTACCTTCATTTGTATACCATGTGTCTTGCAGATGATGGTATAAAATGTGGAATGAACTTGGTGGAACTAGGATTTGATCTGAAGAAAATGTCTTATAGTATTCCTATGCTTCTATGATCTTTGAGCCTAATTAGGCTGTGGATATGTTGATACTTTTAACATTTTGAGCATCATAAAATATCTAGTTTGTTAATTTTCCACAATGTTAGTTAATCACCTCTTCTACCAGTTGAAATGTTATGCAACTTGCACCGTGAGAAGCTCCTTATAATTTGGAGAAAGGAATCATTGATTAACTCTATTTGTGGCATGTGTGCTTATGATAAATTTATCCATTGTGCCTAAAGCATGTTATCTACCACCGAATTTTGCTACTCAGATAGTATGAAGGCTAAAAGCTTTGAGAACTTTTGGTCCATATGGAAATTGGCTCTTCACAACTGTTTGACAGTTGGACAATTAGCTAGCTGTTTATAAATACAATCTGCAACTTACATTGAATTCTCTTTTTCCCCCAGTAAATGACTTGCTTATATTACATTTAACTTGCCAACATTATGTTCAGACATTGTGCTTATAATATTATTACTTATTTGATCACCTTGGGCAGGGCATTCTTACATACACGCCTCGCTTGGTTTCAGTTGATTTTCAAGGTGCTTATTGTATTTAATGTTGAGTTGTGAGCAATTGAATTTATGCCTTTATGTTATTTCCTATGTATTTCCCTTCATAATTTCATATGTCATAGAGAGTAGGGAAATTGGTATATAACTATATGGTATTCAAAGCTTTTTGGCGACCTTTTTGATTTATTTTACATATTTTTTTAAATATATTTGGAAAAATTTAGGAAAAGTTATCTTTGTGATAATTTGATTGTGTAAATAATATCACACCACACATATGAGGGAGCTTTTGAAAGATCTACCAGAGATTTGGGTGGTTTTAAAGTTTGTTGTATCACTTTCCTTTTCTTGGGTCTTCTTGGGGTTCTTTTTCGAATGAGTTGAAGGGTTTCTTTTGTGGGTGGAGAACCAAGAGGCATTGATGTTTAGTGGGATAAAATGAGTGTTTGAGATCTTTTGGTATCTTGACAAATGAGATGACTTTGCTTTGGCCTGTTGGAACAATTGTAGGTAGCATGGTATTTATATTGTGTAATTCCTCTGAATTTTACCAATTTCTAGGTTGTACCAGTACATGAGTCAATAGATATTTTCAATTGAAAAACTTTTCAAATGTCTTACTAGGACCTTCAATTCTACAATAGGCCTCCTAAAAAGTGGCTGCCATAATTCCGGTTTCGTTTGGAAAACGCTATTTATCAATTTTTTGACATCACAGGTTCTCTTGGATCCATGAGTTCACGTGGTACACTGTACAATGATATCCCACCTGTACAATCTGATGTTGTCACATGGTGAGACATGTATTCATCTTTTTATATTTAGGTGCTTTATCATTGGGCTACTTGTGATACACAATTCTATTATCTAAAAAATTCCGCACCTTGGGAAAGTTGTCGTCATAAAAAAAAGGATGAGCATTTCTATAGGATGGCACGGTTCACTGCAATATTTTTTGAAACTGATTTTAGTTTCTAGGTGACATGTTCCAAGGTTTTGTATATTTGACTTATCATGAAAATATTCACAAATAGATCTGGACAGCCCAATACATTGAACTGTTTGCATTATATTTCCTAATTCGTTAGATTTGGGGATGATGGGAGGTTGCAAGATTCAGACATGTTTTTATTATGGCAATGCGTTTTACAGTAAGTGTCTTTCTATTATAATTTATTATGTAGTGTGGGGAGGTTGTGAACATCAATGTTTCATCCAATTATTGTGATGTAGTTGTGTAACTTTTAGTTTCTTTTTTGAGAAGTGTGCCTTAGGAGCTCTATGAGATAGTGTATGTGTGGGTTATTGGATGCTTACATGCATAAGCGCATGTGTGAACCATGTACTAATATCTAGTTCCTACAAAGTTGTTACTTCTTTTCTTTGACTTCCCAATGTGATTCCAGTTAACGAGTTTGTGTTAGAGAGATTATCTTGTGATGGCTGACAAGAAACAAATTTGTTTTTTGGAAACTTGATGATAGTGCTTATATAATGTTACTTGGATCGTGGGTTGATTTGGTATGTGGTGCGGGTACGGGTACACGGTACGACACTTTCTTAGGTACGGGATAAACTTAGTTGGTACGGTGTTTTCGGTTACAATTTGTTTTGGAATCCTTATCTAGATGCTTTCACTACCACATGAAATTACATATAATAGTATTATTTATTTTGTATTTGTGCTAGATTTTTTATTATCTAAAGTTATATATAATTATACATCCATATACACATAGTTAAATATTTATTCTTCGTTTGTGATACATGTTCTAACGTGATTCAATTTGGAGTTAGTATTATAATTTGGGGTCGGACATTTAGGTGATTTGGATCGCGAACTCACCTCCTTTGGAATCGTTGAACCCGGATTGTGGGTTATTAGGGGTATAGCAAATTCTGGTAACTATGTGCTTACCTCTCTTAGCCAAGTTGATATAAGTTGGCAATCAATGACATTCTCTATTACCTGGGACAAAACGTCCCCAATACTTTTCCTTCAGTACACACAATTTAAGTTTGTAGCACCTACAATATTCCTTTCAAGTGGGTAGAAACCCACAAACATTCCAGCTAACTGCTAAGGTTGGGTCTGTTTTGGTCATTGGTCTGCATAGAGTTACCTTATTCAGTAGTAGTTCTGGTTATTGATCTGCATGAAGGTGTCACATTTGTAGGAAAATTTGTCCATTCTGTTCTGTGCTGAACATTTTCTCATTTATAGATTAGAAAAAGTGTCACTCTCCTTGTGAATTAATTATGCTTGTTTTAAGTTTTAACAATGCCTTGATGGAAATATGTCGAGAACTGTACCTTTGAATTGAAAGATTGAGAAGCAGTTTGAGGTAGAGTTTATTTTCAGAAGGCAGAATCTAATGCATCTTGGATCGAAGCATAAGATTTTGTTGTGTCTTCAGGCCACTGCTGTATGGGTTATGCCTGGTTTTACGAATAGTATCCTGTATCAGATTCAATACTAAAAAAACTGCTCAAAGAAGTTTTCAAGAAATTCTAGCATACATGTTGCTTACGTTAGTGTTTTAGATATTAGATTTTGAAGTTGGCATTAGGAAAACGAAAACATTCACTTGATCATCTGAATTTTAAGGTTCTTAAAACAAAAGGGTTCCTTACTATTTTTCTAGTTAAGTTGAACAATGTTTTTCAAATTTAATGTTTAAGTTAACAATTTGATCTCAAGAATGAAGCAATAGCTGCTGCTGCTGTTGTACTTATTGAGGGTTGGAAATTTATTTGTCTATCCAGTCATTTTAGTTCTCTTCCTTCGTTTGATTTAGCATTTATATCAATTGATTAGATCTCTGTGCAGGACTGGTAACATCTCCACTCATGCAACTGAACGTCGAACGAAGAACTTGTTCTTGCAAAGTTTATATGAGGAAGAACAGAAAAGATTGGGGATGGAGAATGGTGTTAATGGTGGGAAGAATGATTCTGAGGGTGAAATTCAAGATAAGGACATTGTAGAATGTCTACAAGATGGTGTTCAAAATTGGACAGACTTTTCAAAAGTCCACTATCATCCCCGGAGTTTGTATGAATTAACTGGACTAGGAATGGACATTGGGGAATTCGAGAGTTATGGAATTGGAAGGGATGCCTTCTCTGAGGCTTTACGAGGAGAAGAAATAAATGAGAGGCTTCGTTTTTTCATGGAAGAGTGTGACCATATTCAGGTATCTCATAAAATGAAAAATGCTTTCTTAGATCATCTCCAATGGAAACCTAAACCCTTATTCAAATTTGAGTAAAAAATGGGGTAAAAAGTTTGATTTGGTATGCACCTCTCCAATAGAGAAACCCAAATTTAAAGGAAGCAAAACTCAAATTTAAATGAAGACAAACTCAAATTTAAAAGAGGGTAAAATATAACCATTAGATCTATAAAGGTGGGTGTCATCTCACTATTAAAGATTTAGGTATGGATTTGAGTCTCCCTTAATTTGAGTAAAAAAAGAGTCTCCTTTCATTTGATATGGATATAGGTCTAGCATTGGACAATATTTTTAAGAGTTTTTTACCCAAATTTAAATTTGGTTTTAAAAAAAGGTAAGGATCGCAGATGCTCTTACGTTTATTTACGGACTCCTAGGCAATCTTAATTTCACTCATGTTTTGTTCCTTTGTTAAAAAGGTAAGGATTGAAGATGCTCTTACACTTCCTCACGGACTACTAGACAACCTTAATTTCACTCATGCTTTTTTCCTTTGTTTGTGAAAATGATTGCCAATCAGTAATCATCACAAATTATATTTAGCTTACTTTGACTTTTTTCCCTTTGAGCTTGCCCCTATTCTCACTAGTCGACTAGTCTATTCTGTAATGATCGTCAAATTTTTTTGGACACTAAAATTTAGAGTGGCACTTAATGGAAGTTAATGATCGGACTGAATCCGCACAATACAAGAACATGGAGGACAAGCCTAAATAGAAGGATTGGGGATCAAAGTAGAATAGGGAAAATTTTAGGTAGATAAAGTATAACTAACCATTATATTTATGGCAAGTTGGTTAGTCTGAAAGTTATATCTATGGCAAGCAGGTTAGTCTTTTCAGAATTTCCTTGACATTTATGGTTCATAAAAATTCTTATATCATTCAAGCCTTCCCATAACCTCTTTGAAGCGAAGATCCTCTACATGGTTTCATAAGATATTTCTGCCTTTTTGTTATGATGATTATTTTGGCAGGGAATTCAATTTATGGTTGATGACTCTGGAGGATTTTCTGGTGTGGCTGCAGAATTTTTGGAGAATATTGTGGATGAGTACACAAACGTTCCAATGTTGCTCTATACGGTCCGGAGCCCTGGCTCTTACATTAACCTCACAAGCCGGAAGCAGACAATCTCTCACTCTCTTCATGATGCAATTTCATTTGCAAAATTGTCATCCTTGTGTAAATTGATCGTGCCTATTGGTTTACCCTCCCCGAGTAAAAGTAAGTAGTGTTAATTTGTGGGAAAGGTCCTTTTTATAACCACCTCTTGTTTTCTGATTACCGGATTAAATTTGAATTGTTTCTAAGAAATTTGATTTCCTAATTGTAAATGAAATTTGGTTGATCAACCAAGCAAGATGCATTTTGTGTTTTAGTGAGAATGTACCTTTATGTTATGTTGCTAAATATCTCAATATTAGTTTGCTTGAACCAAAATCACTGGATATGCTATGTTCATGTTATGCTGGAGATTATTCTTAGATCAAATTCTCCCCCCCCCCCAAAAAAAAAAAAAAAAACCCTAAAAGAAGCTACATAAAAAAAAAAATCTGCTCCAAAAACAATATATTAGCCTCTTTTTATTATGTATGTTAAGAAGAAGCTGTGCATGGACTGATCTGCTTATGCAAATGTGAACTTAAAGCTTCCAGGTTTCTCTCCATAAAAGACGAAAAGCCTTACTACTCCAGTGCAATTTATGCATCTGCACTGCATTCTATTAGTCTCCCTTTCCGAATGGAACCACTTGGTCCCAGTGCAGAATCCCTTTATATATCTGGTGCTGTGGATATAAATGGGGTCATACAAATGTTAGCTGGCCAAGCTAGGCATAATAGTGTTGCTATTCTGGATGTTGCAATGCCAGCTCCTCCTCTCAGTGGTATATTTGTTTACTGTTACTTTCACTCGTACTTATTGACAATAGTTTTCCTTTTAATTTTCTCTGAAGTGGTTCATCTTAAAACGCAGGGGAACAGGTTGAGCAATCTTTGTTAGGGAATTTGCAGACATTGACCCCAGGGACAGCAGATAATGTGGAAGACTTGCAAGCAGTGGAATCCATGACTGTTCATGGAGCCATTGGTTCTGGTATTTTTTAGTATTTTACAGATTATATTCATTAAATTAACTTATTCCCCTTTGTTTTTCTCATTCTGTTGTTTTAAACAACAGTTCCTAATTCATTGCCTCAACCCCCAAGTAATTACCAATTCTCCCTGTGCTCAATGTTTGTCATATTCTTGAATATCTTGCTGCAAACTTTAGATCAGGGCACTGGCATTTTCATAGTCTTTTACTGACTTTTGTACCAGTTTGCAATAATATTTACCACACTGCTTGAGTGACTTCTAGAAAAATCTAGCGCTCCATTTCTGTTCAAGAAAAGGAAATATTTAGTTAACCTCGAACAATCCCAAGTATTTCTAGAGTGAATTCTAAGCTCAAGAAGTGAAGAACATCATCACCTGGGATTTTCAAAAAAAATAGAAAGGGTGGCAGAAAAAAGCATTAGTACCACGGATGACTACCTTTACAATCTGCGTATCAATCTCGTATGTTGACCTCTTTGATATGTAGCTGATGTTGGTTGTCTAGCTATTCTGCGGCTTACCGAAAGTTGTCAATGCATTTAGCTGTTAGTTTATTGGTTTCTTATCTTGTTGTCGTTATGTTACAGGAGGTCAGCAGGCCTCAGTTTCTGAAGTAAAGGACAGAGTTCAAGATGCTTATGAAAATGCACTCGCAAGGCCAATGTTCTCTCATCTGTCAGTGGCTCGTTGTCCTCTTCCAATACCCTTGCCTTTTCCTTCAATATTCGGGAATCTTGTTAGCCAAAATGGGGAGCTGTTGAGTAGCCCAATTTCAGGTTCCCGGTCAAGGGGATCACTTGATGTCCATTCAATACCCATGGCAGCAAGATTGCGTTCTAGTGCTGCTGTCTTGCCATTCTTGGAAAAGAGGTTGGGAAACCTTCGGAGGTTTGGAATTGAGCGAGTAGCTCTTGGGACCGAGATAGTTAGAAGTTGGGGTTTTGGACAGGAGGAAGTGGAAGACATTGGAGAGACACTTTCTAAGATGGTTACAACATTGGATCCTCGTTCGCAAGTATCATCGGATTCAGATTGAGGCTTGTCAATGTATATAGCCATTGTGTTGATACATGTTCATGTACTCGAGTGAGTTCTGTATCCTTTTTTATGAACTCTTTTACATGGATGATTGATCATTTCCCAAGCCGTCGCACTTTGACTAATGTTGTTTCTGGAAGTATTCTATTTTCCCTGTAATATAGTCTTTTGCGGCAAGTCTGTCATGCAGAGGTTTTTTTTTTTTTTTTTCATGTACAGTGTTTTTTTCTGGTCGTTGTCATATACAGAGTTGAGGTGGTCTAAATCCAACAGAGTAAGACCATTCTATGTCTTTTGAAGTTTTATTTATTTTATTTTTTTTCTGTGTTTGGGCCAATTTACTTACACATCGACTAATTTATTTTTTGAGCTTATCAAAGTTAGGTCATTCAAGTTAAAATTACGGTATTCATGAGGAATGAATCATTTATGACTGGATTATCAAATATTCGAATTTTAGACATTTGAGTTCATAACAAGAGAAATTCCTCCGGTGGACAAATTTGCAAAGTTGTAAGAGTGCGTGGATGACAGATGAATCCTACACCGCTTATATTTTGAGTTTTATAAAAATAACAGAAATAAAACATAGAATGGCAATTATCAAGGTACTCCACAAAATCGTCAATGCATTGGTCTCCGATAGGAGTGGCAATTTTTGACGTGATTCGAAATTGACACGAAATTAGTGGGTTAAAATTGATAATTTTTCAGCGTGAACTTATAAATGAAATAATTTATTAACAGGAATAATAAATGAAATTGGTTAAGTGTCAATTACAAATAACACAAAATTGATACGATTAAAATATTTAACTAATATAATAGAAATAAAATGTTAAAATTGTTGTTTTTTTTTCTCAAGCATTGATATAATCTTTATACAAAAACAGAATTTTTTTCCTTATTTTTATTATTATATTTATTAAATTAATTTTTAGTTCATAAAAAGTGTGAGTGTGAGTTCAATTTGAAGATAATGTAATATTATACTTAAATTTTAGTGTTAAATTATTTGTTCATGGGTCGTATGAGTCAGCACAACATGAAAATAAACACGATAAGATTAATTAAATGAATTGAGTTCAAGTTGATTAATACTCGACATAAATCCGTAAATGATATGAGACAAATATGATCAACATCAAACGATTACTGCCCTTACTCCTTAAAGCACCTTATAATAAATACACAGTTTTTTTTTGTTTTGGGGGGGGGGGGGGGGGGTTTGTCTCTTTATGGTAGCTGACATTGCAATTTTCCTATCTGATGATTCACTTACATTATGCTTCCTTTTTGTATCTACCCAAAAGTAATTAATATTTGATGGGGGTGTTTCATGCCACTCAGGTCTTTTGCCTGCCTGAGGCATTAAATATTCACAAAGTGTCCTGTTTGTCGCCTGGCCTGAGCCATTAAACTATGATCTTCCAAGAGCTTAAATCAAGCCCCACTGTAGGGCCTGGCGTGGGTGGTGGGGATAATATACTAATGTCACCTGTGTGTACATGAAGAAGGTCACGTGCAAGTGACCCCTATAAGTCTTCCATCTCCCATAGATTTATGTTCTCAATGGTAGTTTTGGGGGCATTTTAGAAGGATCTAACTATCATGAACTCATTAAAATAATTACATCAATGTATTGCAGTCAAGTGACCCTAAAGCCCTTCAGGATTTAATGCACTGAATTCAAAATCTTTCTACTCCATCAATAACCTATTAGTGGTACCCCGTACAATGAATATGAATGGATCAAATTACTGAATATTTGTAGTTATATATAGTAGGAAAATAGATAAGGTTGTTGAAACAAACAAAAATTCTTGGAAACTTGGTTTGATCCTAATTCGGATGTCGGTAGAGAAGCATGGATGAAACCCTATAGTTGAAAACAATGCACCTCCTACAATTTAAAATGTACCTCTGAATAAATTGTCTTCCTCAAAACCCAAAAAAAAAAAAAAACTCTTCTGTCCTCTCTCTCTCTCTCTCTTCGTGATCTTGCTTCTTCTATACAAGGGGAAATGAGCTGCAACAGAAAGCAAAAGAGGAAAGAGAAATTGTTAGGAATTAAGAATGAGTTAGATAAAATCAAGAGCATTCTCAAATTTACAACTTGACTCTAAATGATAACATTCTCATACAATATCGATTGACATTTTCCTTAACAAAACCATCTCACCAGACTCATTAATTTCCATTAGTTCTTGATTGGATTACAATTTCAGCTGCAACAGATATAACAAATAAAACTCCAAGATTTTACCCTATTAGTGGATCCCATCTCTTTTAGAAAGGACCTCAATTTTCTATATGAAAAATGCTAAATAAGCATAAAAACTTAACTTGATGAATCACTAATAGTTAATGTGTTAAAATAAATAATAGAACTCACAGTAAAATTAATAACAAATATAATAATCACATCAACGAGTCAAGTTTTTAAGTCACTTGTGAGCAAGAAGTATCGGGATATCGTCCTAGCATCCTAAAGAGGAGAATTTTTTATGTGTGACACATCATATAACAATGTTATATAGTGATGATGCACAAAAATGGTTTTGCACACCACCTGTCAAGTGTAGATAATAAATGCAATGAAATCAATGAAAAAAAATTAAAGAAGACACAATTTATAGTGGTTCGGTCAATTCGACCTACGTCCACTCTTCAATGGCTTCAGTTGCCGGGTATTTTTTTGATTCAAAGGTATGGAGAATAGAGATACAAGCTTTGAGAGAGAGAATGAAGAATCAAAGAAATAGTAATCTCCGGTAGTCGGTTCGTCCTCTGTAAGTCTTGGTGGGGCGTGACATTCATCTCCTTCTCCTCACAGATTGGGCCTACTTTATAGCAGTTAAGAGATCATTCTTGTGGAGATCATGACTTATCCTCAAGGCTACTTTATCGCAGTTAAGAGATCATTCTGGTGGAGATCATGACTTATCCTCAAGGCTACTTTATAGCAGCTAAGAGATCATTCTTGAGGAGATCATGACTTATCCTCAAGGGAAGGAGGAGGTTGGGGAGCTCTTCATGAAACGTGGTCAAAGCTTGGACCGTTTCCTTCGGTGGTGCAGATAAGCTTCTCATGCTCTCCTCTTGATGACGTGCTAAGCAAAAAGTCTAACCGGTCTTGGATTGTCTTGGGCTTGGTAGATTCAAAATGAGGTTGGGCTCCTCAACTGGAGTTAGACTTTAACACATAAATTGGACTATTTGGGCTTAACCCATCATTTGCCCCCCAATGCCCCATGTCCAATGAGACTTGGAGAAGGAGGCATTGACTATATTATTATTATTATTCTTTTTTTTTTTTTTAACTTCAAGTCTTTCCCACTTTATTTTGAAGAGGGAGTGGTGGAGGTTGAAGAAAGGGAGAAAGTAGGCACCATTTTGGAGAACTTGGAGGCTGGTTTTGAGCATTCGAATGTTATTTTGGACAGCTTTGGGGCTGTAAATGAAGGGCTGGACAGCGAAGGAGAGATGGGCAGCGCGAGGAGTGGCTTGGGCAACGAAGAAAAATGGCTGGGTGTGCGACTGGACAGCCCAGGCGCGCTGGGCGCGTGACTGGGCAGCACAGGCGCGCGGCTGGGCAGCTCGCGCGCACGCAGTGGGGGGCTGGGCGGCTGCCTGGGCTCTGCTCCTCCTGTCCTGGACAGCCCAGGCGCGCTGGGCAGCTGCCTGTGCGCTGGCCTTGCTGTCCTGGACAGCCCAGGTGTGCTAGGCAGCAGCCTGGCTGCTGCTTCTGCTGTCCCGAACAGCTCAGCTGCGCTGGGCAGCTTCAGTTCTGCTGCGCTGGGCAGCTTTGGAACGCTGGGCGGCAGTATTTTTCCATCAAGGGGTGCTGAAAATCAGTCCAAGGTTCATCAGGGAGAGCTAGGCAGTGGCCTGGGAGCACGGGCTGATCCGATTCTCACTCGAGGCGCTGATTTGGGCCCCTTAGGTGCTGATTTTTGCGCCGAAAATTCTGCTTTGCGCAATTTTGAAGGGCCAGACACCCTTCAAGCTATTAGACAACTTTGTTTTGACGAGCAACAACAGTCAAGCACACTTCTAGGCGTTGGGCTAGACATTGCAAGTAGTAAGGAAGCTTTGGGTGCTGCTATTGATGATCAAGCCCTTATCCAGGTGCTGGGCGCCTGGGTGAGCCTGGGACTGCCTCGGGAGAGCCTGCTTGTAATGACAAAAATAATGTTATTCCAAACATTAAAATATCTCACATAATTACCTGAGAGAGAGAAAAGTAGGCTGCTTGCACGAGAGCAAAGACAGAGTTGGAGAACTGCTCGTGAGAGAGCTACATTTTTTGAGACCTAGCTTTTGGCGACTCATGAGGGAGTTTTTAAGCTTGAGGTATAAGCTGCCTGTTTAAGAACAGTGTAGAGGCCAAGCTTTTTTTGGCGATCCGTGAGAGAGCCGTTAAACTGGCGATAGACTGTCTGTTTGAGAACAGTGCAGAGGCCAAATTTTTTTGGCGACCCGTGAGAGAGCCGCTAAGTTGGAGATAGGCTGTCTGTCTGAGAACAGAGCAGAGACCAAGTTTTTTTGGCTATCCGTGAGAGAGCCGCTAAACTAGAGATAGGCTGCCTGTTTGAGAACAGTGCAGAGGCCAAGTTTTTTGGCGACCCGTGAGAGAGCCGCTAAATTAGAGATAGGCTGCCTGTTTGAGAACAGTGCAGAGGCCAAGTTTTTTGGCGACCCGTGAGAGAGTCGCTAAACTGGAGATAGGCTGCCTGTTTGAGAACAGTGCAGAGGCCAAGTTTTTTGGCGACCCGTGAGAGAGCCGCTAAACTGGCGATAGGCTGCCTGTTTGAGAACAATGCAGAGGCCAAATTTTTTTGGCGACCCGTGAGAGAGCCGCTAAGCTGGAGATAGGCTGCCTGTTTGAGAACAGTGCAGAGGCCAAGTTTTTTGGCGACCCGTGAGAGAGTCGCTAAACTGGCGATAGGTTGCCTGTTTGAGAACAGTGCAGAGGCAGGTCAAGTTTCTGGTGATCTGTGAGATGATTCACCTTGCCTAAACTTATTGATTTCCTCAGCATTCATATATCTTTGAGCTTTTGTGAATAGTTCTGGCATGCTCTTTGGTGGTTGTTTTATTACTGAAAAAAACAATCTGGATGAGCAGAGGCCTCCCAGAAGGCAGTCATGGCGACTTTGTCATTGGGTTCCTCGATTTGGAGGACTTTCTCGTTAAAACGAGTGAGGTAACTCCTTAGACTCTCATTACGATCCTGTTTTATGCTGAGCAGATGGATGACAGGCTGCTGCTGGCGGCGTCCACCAATGAATTGTGTCACAAAGGATCTGCTCAGTTCAACGAAGGAGCCTATGGAGGCTGGGGTGAGTTTGGCGAACCATTATCGCGCTGATCCCTTCAAGGTAATTGGGAATGTCCTACACATAATTTCGTCGGGGACGCTGTGTAGTTGCATCATGGTCTTAAAAGTTTCGAGGTGATCAAGTGGGTCTTTCGTACCATCAAAGGTTTCAACGGATGACATTTTAAACTTCTTGGGAAGTGGGTAGTTCGTCACGTTAGGTACGAAGGGTGTGTTGGTTCGACTTACGAGGCAGTCCACTGTCTCGGGTCTCTGTGCTTTCATAGTGTTGAAAATGTCGTCTAGTTGATTTTGTACCTCTTTTATTTTTTCGTCCCAGTGGTTGGGAGCTCCTTTGGAATTATCCTGGAAATAGCTTCCATGCTCCATGCTCTGGTTCTCACCCTTGTCCTCTTGGAAAAGAAAGCCCCCACCATGAGAAAAGGGAGCTAGAAGAGGAGGTGGAGGTCCCCCGTGGGGAGCTCCCCTATGAAGGGCACCCAAGGGAACTCCAAAGTGGGCGCCCAAATAGGGAGCAACAAGTTGTGGAGCTGCTTGATGTGCAGGGCGTGAAGCTCTTTTATGTCCAGGACGTGGAGCTCCTTGGGGTGCTCCATGTTGTGCACCTCCGTGGGGCCCTCCATGTTGTGCATCTCCGTGTTGTGCTCCTCCTTGGGGTCCTCCATATTGTGCACCTCCGTCAACAAGTTGTGGAGCTGCTTGATGTGCAAGGTGTGGAGCTCTTTTATGTCCAGGACGTGGAGCTCCTTGGGGTGCTCCATGTTGTGCACCTCCGAGTGGTGCTCCTCCTTGGGGTCCTCCATGTTGTGCACCTCCGTCAACAAGTTGTGGAGTTGCTTGATGTGCAAGGTGTGGAGCTCTTTTATGTCCAGGACGTGGAGCTCCTTGGGGTGCTCCATGTTGTGCACCTCCGAGTAGTGCTCCTCCTTGGGGTGCTCTATGTTGTGCACCTCCGAGTGGTGCTCCTCCTTGGGGTCCTCCATGTTGTGCACCTCCAAGTGGTGTTCCTCCTTGTCCAGCAAGTATGAGTTACAGTAACTGTTGGTTTTGAGCAACCAGTTGTTGCATGGTCTCCAACATTTGCTGGGGATTCGGAGCTAGAGTATCCGGGACAAAGTTGGTAGGCGGGGGAGCAATCTCTTCCTCTCGTGGAGGATTGTCTTCAGGTTGGTTCATGGATCGGGTAGTGATCGCCATTAGTTCAATGGATGTAATGTTCAGGAGTGAGAATTTTGTCGTTTCCCACAGACGGCGCCAAACTGATGATGCACAAAAATGGTTTTGCACACCACCTGTCAAGTGTAGATAATAAATGCAATGAAATCAATGAAAAAAAATTAAAGAAGACACAATTTATAGTGGTTCGGTCAATTCGACCTACGTCCACTCTTCAATGGCTTCAGTTGCCGGGTATTTTTTGATTCAAAGGTATAGAGAATAGAGATACAAGCTTTGAGAGAGAGAATGGAGAATCAAAGAAATAGTAATCTCCGGTAGTCGGTTCGTCCTCTGTAAGTCTTGGTGGGGTGTGACATTCATCTCCTTCTCCTCACAGATTGGGCCTACTTTATAGCAGTTAAGAGATCATTCTTGTGGAGATCATGACTTATCCTCAAGGCTACTTTATCGCAATTAAGAGATCATTCTGGTGGAGATCATGACTTATCCTCAAGGCTACTTTATAGCAGCTAAGAGATCATTCTTGAGGAGATCATGACTTATCCTCAAGGGAAGGAGGAGGTTGGGGAGCTCTTCATGAAACGTGGTCAAAGCTTGGACCGTTTCCTTCGGTGGTGCAGATAAGCTTCTCATACTTTCCTCTTGATGACGTGCTAAGCAAAAAGTCTAACCGGTCTTGGATTGTCTTGGGCTTGGTAGATTCAAAATGAGGTTGGGCTCCTCAACTGGAGTTAGACTTTAACACATAAATTGACTATTTGGGCTTAACCCATCATATAGTATATATCACCAATAAAATATTATACATTCTCAATGATTATTTGTTATATCACTTTGTCAAATTTTTTTTTTAAAAAATCAACTTGTGCGTGCCACACTCATCAGTGTTGCGAGCGTTTGGTATTGCATGTGGTGTCTATAACTTACTAAAGTGTTTTTTCCTCAAAGTGAAGAGAGGTTAATATCCATTAATAACGAGTAACGTGGAAAACTTATAAGATAAAAAATTGTTTTGCAACTAAATTCCCATTGTACTCGAATAACAACCCCATGGGTTTGTCAATATATATGCAAAAAAATAAATATTTTCTTTCTCCAAACTAATTTTTAAAGAAACACACAAGTATACACACCTATTCAAAAAGAGATTTCAAATGTTTACAATTACTACAGCTTATACCAAAATAGCTTTAACTTTCAAATATATAATGGAATCTTATAAGCTGGCTTCATTAAGTAGAACAACTACTAGGTAGAACAATCACTAAAGTAGAATAATGTTTTTTGTATTGTGATTATACAATAATACACTCATAAACAGACCAAAAAACCAGCAAATCTACAATTCGATGCAAACCTTTATAGTACTTTCACATAATGTTACAATGGAAAGAAGATGCTCATTTATTTCAATTGCTCAAAATACCAACTACAAGAGACCATCAAAAAAAGTAAAACTCAAAAATAATAACTTAGGGTTCGTAGGTACTGAGTTATGATTACAGAATGTGACATATCTGGGCAGTGAAAAGACAATAATTCTCTGTTAACCACCCCTACTGGCTACTGCACTATGCAATAAAAAGTAATTTTGGCTTTTCACTGCCCACCACAAGAATTTCACCATGTTCATGTCAAAACCAACAATCCAAACCTTATCAAATCAATTCAATCATCTGTTTGTAAGAAAAGCCCTCGTGGAAGAGAACGCAAACCATATACCGGAGTGGAAAAAAAGAGTAAAAGAGATCATGGGAGAGAGAAAGAGGGTAAGAGAGAGATATATACCTGGAACGAATAATGTTTAAAAGAATAATCCTAGAGGACACGAAAGCTGAAAATGGGTATTAACAGGACGGATCAATCCTACCCTCCTCACTTCCAGCCCTCTGTTGTTGCTGTGGCTGCTGATTCTTCTGCTGCTGTTGTTGAAGCAAAAGCTGTTGCTGAATCTGAAGCTGATGGGGATGGGAGTGGTCTTGTGTCTCTTGCTGAATCTGATGATAAGGGTTCTCGTATGAGCCCAAACCCAGCGCCGGCGACATCTCCGTTGCAGTCATCTGATTAAACCCAATTGCCATCACAGGCTCGGCGGTGTCAAAACCACCGTTGAACCTCACAAGGTCATGTTGCCTGGGGTAGTGGTTGTTGTTGCTGCTGCTGCTCATAAGTCCTCATCATCTCCAGTTGTTCTCTCGCCGCCACCACCGCCGCCAGCTGTTGAGCCTCCAGCATTTGTTGCTGGTGATGCAACGGCTGAGGCTCACGGATCATCAATTGAGTCCCGTGAGACGGACCAGCCTGTAACCCCAACATGGGTTGCATATTATAGGGCATCACCGAAGTTGCCGGAATGTTGGGGTGTTGTTGAATAAACCCAGGATGTTGAAGGATGGGCAACATCGCCGATGGGCCAATATAATTAGCCAATTCTTTCTTAGCGTTATACAAATCGTGTTGGACTTGCTTGAGACGGTGTTGAAGGATCGAGATGAGTCCTACGCAGCCATAAACTGGGTCTCGGAGGCGAGCTTCGGCTTCGTATGCAAGGGAATTCACGGCGTCGTCGCGTTGGGCGGCGTTGAGTTCGTTTAAGAGTTTTGCGACGTTGCTTGCGCCGAAGACCTTGTGGACGTTGGCGAATTTCTGAGGCTGGTCCGGTGGGAAATAGGGAGCAAATACACACTCTTGGGTGCACTTTCGCCGGAGAAACTTGCACGCCGCACATGGAGAGTTGGACGATGACATTTCCTTCAGAACTGCACACACATTAAAGAGACAATATCACGAGGTGTTGTAAGAGTAATGCTATTCAACTTAAAATTTTAGCTTAATTTGAATTATTAGACCAATTCTAAGTTTGATAGAATCACAATTAATTTAATTAATTTTTCCCAATAATATTATTGGATAAATAAATTTTCAATAAATTCAACTTATAAGACACAAATTAAAGTCTAAAACTCTATGTAACCATGTAGATTGGAGAGAGAAAATTGTGTCATATACTAGGAAAGCTACTATAATGGAGGTTTGCTACTATCCATACATATAAATATATAGAGTATATTTTTGGCATTCAGCGAATGGTCATTTTACCGATTATAGAGAAGTAGTAGGTTAGTCATTAAAAATTTCGAATTTCGAAACCAACTTGGCAAGTGCAAGTCAACACAATGAAGAAAATCCGAAAAAGGAGGAGGAAAAAAATAAAAAGTCTGGAAAGACGAACGAGGAAAGAAATCTATGATAATGATGATTGAGAAAGAAACTACCATCTACAAAAATGGCTTCAAATATAGCCGTCTTTGAAAAGATATGGCGACTCTTACGAAGAAAAAGCAAAGCAAATTCCATAAACTAAATTGCAAATAATTCCACTACATGTGAAAAATCTGCAATTAAAGCCTCTGTCAAGCCCAAAACAACGAAACTTTATTGACGCGTCTTGAAGACGAAAGCTCTCATTTTCTCCCTCTACAAAAAAGTCTCTCTCTCTCTCTCTAGACTCTAATTTATTCAACTTGAAATGCAAGATACTCTTGCTTTACCGATCATTATAGATCCGTGTTTTTTATCTTCCAAACGAAACCAAATCACACAAAAGTATTTTCTGTGTTCAGAATCTAAACATCCAGATCTTTCCATCTGCAACAAAACTCTTCTCAAATCCCAAAAAAAAAAAAAAAACTTCAAAACCTGGAAATCAAACAAGCAATAGTCACCGTCTTACCTTAAATTACCTTTCATTTGGTTCAAGAACACTTCAGATCACGGTACAGATATAAACCTTGTCGCCTCTCTCTCCCCCTAAGCACATACATATCATCTGCAAAAACAAGGCAACACTGATCTTTTGTCGTAGACGAAAAATAATCGTCGTCGTTTTATGTGAAACAAACGAACGAACGGAATGCTAAAAAAAAAATGGTGGATTAGACTTGATGAACCTTCGGTCATAGGAGAGAGTATAGAGGTCTAGGGTTCCAGTGCGAAAGCGCTCGATCCGATCTTCAAGTTTTCACGATCCCAATAATAGAAAAAAAATGGGATAATTATAATATTCGTGAAAAGAAAGTAAGGGAGAAACAGTGAAAATAAAAAATAAAAACAGAGAGTAAATGGTAAAAAGAATGAAAGAGAGAAAAAGCAAGATATCATCACCATGGCGTCGACGTCATTTTTATGTGTGTGTGAGTGTTGGGGTCGATGATGAGATATAAACACCTCTTTCTCGCCGTTGGATCCAGAGAAAGAGGTGTGTTGACCGTCAGATCTAGAAAAAAGGGATGGGAGGGAGAGAGAGAGAGAGAAGACCTCTTATTCTGGAGAAGATTAAATGCATCTCTGAGTTACCCCTTTGTCCCTGTACTGTCTTCATCTTTTGCCATAGTTTCTTCTTTTTAATATATTGAAGAAAGGCCCTTCAAGTTCTAAAAAGTTGCAAACTTGTCCTCAATTTTTATAGTATTTGAAAAAGGGTAATGCTTTTAGATCATAGACTTAATTTGTTGACAAAATAATATATCAAGAAAGTAATAAAGCACAATGAAAAATTATAACAGTTAAAGGCACAAGAATATGTCACTGTCATATCAATAAATTTGTATATTAAATTAATTTTTTAGATTTCAATAGCATTACTTTTCTGACGAATGGTTGTCATTTTAATTACAAAACATAATGATTTAATTGCTTTTTTTAACAGTAATTCTACACTGACTAAATTTTGGAACCAAATTTTGAGACCAAATAACATGACAATTGACTTGGACTTTTTTATTTGGTGTTATGTCATTTAAGCCCCAATAAAAACTCAAAATATTATGCTGTCATATCATTTGGACCTTAAATTTGATCAGTATAGAATTACTATTTTCTTAAACTTGAACCTTTAATGAATATGTCATTATTGTGACACAAGAAACAACTATGTGACATGTCTATAATTACATGCATTTGTCATATTAATTTCATTAATTATTTGATCTTTGAAACAATTTCTCCATAGGAAAGTAATAGGATGACATTTTCAATATCAAGTTTAGAAAAAGGGTTTAATTATTTTTTACCCTCTCGTAATTTCGTTTAAAAACACTATATCTACTTGATATTTAAAATTATGCATATTATTCTTTTATAGTTATATATTAAAGTGCAATAATTAACGTCGTTAACAAAATTAAAAATTAACATAATAACTATGTTACTTTCCTATAAAACTAATGAAACATGATAACAAACTAACATATTTCAATTAAACATGTCAACTCCCTTTTTCTCTCAAGTAAGGTTTTGATTTGGAGTCGAAAAAAACTTATGTTTATCTAACATATTTTTTTTTTTAATTTTGGATCGATGTTGTACCTATTTGGGTATTAATCTTATATTATAAATGGTATTTTAGGTACTTAGACAATGTTCTTTTAGAGAAAAATAATAGAAACAAGACCCACAATATATTTTGGACGTGTAGAACACACTCTTTGTTAATTTGAATTATAAAAGTAACTATTTCACTTTGATACATAAGAGCATCTCCAACCCATTAGTTATCCTCCAATTTTTTAGCTATTTTGATGAGGTTGGCTCCAAAAATCGGCTTCAATCCAATTGGCTATCCTCTTCGCCAAAACCTAAGAGGCCTTCAGGCTCGCTAGATCTGGAGAGACCAGCTTACTTGCCACTTCTTGATGCTGAATAACTCCAACTGAACAGTCAGGTATACCTCTATATCCCCTCTGTTTTTTCGAAACCCAACTCCCTCTTCCCTCTGTTTTTCTATGGAAACCCACCCACCCCCACCCCCATCTCTATTGATTTTTGTTATTGATTGGTATTGATTTTTTGGTTAACTATGTGGTTAAATTGTTATTGATTTTTGGTTAAATAAGTGATTTTTGAATTATATTATTGAAAGTTAGCTAAAGATAGTTTAAATATAATTAAAATAGAGAGCATGATTGGAATGAATTTAAAAAAATATCTAATTAAAATATAAAATATAATATTTAAATATATTTTGACTAATTATTTTACTGAGTTGGGTTAGAGATGCTTTAAGTACAAGAGAGTAATGTGTATAATTTTAAACGTCAAGTAGATAGTATACTTCTAGCCAAAATTATAGGAAGATAAAAAGTAATTAATCCTTAAAAAAAAATACAAGGAGGATATAAGTTAGCTAATTACTCTCTTTCTCTTTCTCAAACACACGTGGCGTTGTGTTTCAAATCTCTGGTAAAATTACAAACAATTTTTTAGTGAAGTGGTATATACTATAAATATTTACAAATTCACCAACTATATTCAAGTTCTCGTATTTCCTCCAATGGTAGATTAGTCAACATGAATTAAAGTTGAACGGTCTTCTCTTCTCTTCTAACAATGTATTATGGTTTGATCTATTTATCATTTTATTGATAACTTATAACTTGAGATGAAGAAATCTGACATAATCACAGTCAAATAAGAGTCGGTTTTTACATAATATGAAGATTATTACATTATATATTATGGGAAATCAATACATAAAGACATTTTTGAAAAAAATGTTAATAGTCGTTGAATTTATTTAAGATTGTTGAATGAATTTATTAAAACATCTTATATTCAATCAGAACTTTAATTTTTTAGCACTATCTTGAATTTTTTTTTTTTGATTTAGTCAAATATAAATTATTCAAGTTAAAATTAAAATATTAATTAAAAATAATTTTTTCAAAACATAATCTCAAAATATTATCGATATGTAAATTTAAGACAATTCATATTTTCAATTACCGTGTTGAGTTCGTAGTTTGAAACGTCACAATTGCCCACCAACTTGGAGACAGTTGTCTCAATCAGCAAGGATTGAAGGGCATATACGTCAAATCAGAGTTGATAGGACATCGGTTCTCCATTCGCTCATTAAATACTCTTCTTCACTGTCAGCCTTCCGTCATTGGGCCGTGCGCACGTGTAATGCGTTTGGAACGAATGCTAGGAGAGGTTTACATTTGGGGGGAAGTATTTTTGTCCCGTAATGGCCAGTTTGATAGAAAAAATAAAAAATAAGAGAGATGAAAAAATATGAGAAAAATATGTTCTATCCTTAAAGAAAAGAATGACAATTTCTCTATTTTTTATTTGATAAGATGGATAAAAAAATTGAAAGGTTTTTTTTATTATTTAGTATTGGAGGAAAAAATGAAACGAAAGAAAACATAATTAAATTTAATTTACTATTATACCCTCACACAAAAAACCATAAAAATTTAAAATTATTCAAAGAGAAATGTAATTTGTAAGTGGAAAAAGATCTTCCACCTAGATCATTTGTTCGTCTTTGTCCTTTAATGAATTGAGTTTCCTGTAAAACGAACAAATTGCTTAGGACCAAAGTTCTTCGGTTGAAGGTACTCAGATACTTAAGTTAGTAATTAAAAATAAGTAGTTTTTATATTTATAGAAATTTCTTGCGTACCTTTACTGTTTATCCTTGCTGATTTATATAGGCTCTAGTGACTTTTTCATTTCGAGAGATTGACACATTCTCCTTCAATTCAGCTTTGGTAATTGGACTTTCTCTAAGTCTCTTTGTAATGCTCCCTTGATATATGTGTTTTAGATTGATCCGACTAGTGCAACCAGATCCCTTATTTTTAGGCTGTGATTAAGTGATTCTTATCCTGATCTGCTCATGACTTTAGCTCGGCCATAGCACCGACCAGACTGGCTCAGTTTGATGACACCAGAGCTTTGGTCCTCACATGACTCGTGTGACCATTTACACGTGGCATAATTTTATACCCCAATGAAGCGCATGTCAGTCGTCATTTGTCTGACAGCTGCTTCATATTCTCAAGTTCATGGTTGCTTGGGCTTTTGAGACACGCAACTGTTTCCTCCCATTAAATGCCCGTCCTTTGGCCCCTTGACTTCCCTTCATTCCTGGTATAAAATGCTTTAACATTATTTCGTTTATACTTTGCTCTTCTTCTACTTCAAATTTTCTTTGAAAACCTTTTTACACTAACCTTTTCTGTACTCATCCTCTGAAATGGCTCCCCTCACGAAAGATGGTATTCTAGCGTTTAAGAACAAATACAATGTTCTTGATGATGTAGAGATTCAAATTGCAGGTGAAGACGAGTTGCTGATTGGGACTAGGGAATCAATCCCTATTCATACAAGGGCTATCATCGAAGGCGGTGTGAGATTCCCTATGCATCCTCTGCTACTTTGGGTTCTTACGGCTACGAAGCTTTGTCCCATCTAGTGTTGCCCTAACTTTTTCAGAATTGTTATGGGTGTTGTTGCTTTGAACAACCTTTTGAATGTGAAATTGGGCCTCTGGAAAATCCTTTTTTGCTACATTCTGAAGACCATTGGTGACAGCTACTATTTAGCAGTAAGATGGAAGGATAGGTACTTGGTCACTCATCTACTTGATTCAAACAAGGGACATGAGTGTGATATTATTTTTGTTTTTGGAAATTGAGAATATGGAACAGGAGCGGTGCCTTCCTATCTATGTCCTTACGAAGAGGGCGCACCAGGTATTTGTCAAGTTTTTTTTTTTTTTTGAATTATTTTCTTCTCCTTTCCTTTTTGTATTGTAACTATGACTATCCTTATAGGGGAAACTGTCAAAGGAAAAATTCTTGAGAGCTTGGTAAAGATGGAGGACTTGAGAAAGGTATAGTCCTACAATAAAGGCGTCTTTTGCCGAGCTGCTCACGTGCTGCTAGGATATACCTCTACCTACCACCCTTTTATTGCCATCCCTAATCGGCCCAATGCCACACTAGCCAAAGACTGAGCCTAGCTTCAAGCCCTACAAGCTACCACTCCTCGACCTCGACAAAAAATGACTGCTCCTTCGAGACAATCTAGACCAGTTAGGAACTTCCTTAGCTTTCTTTCTGATGAACTTGGCGAGGCTACTTCTTCAGTTTTGCCTGTTCCTACCGAGGCTGCTTCCATGCCTGCCCCACCTATTGATCTGACTCGCGATACTGATCCTGCCCCCTATCCTTGCCGATCCACCAGCTACTCTTGACACTTCTATTCCTTCTACTGCTAGTCCTCCTACCATATCAAAAATTGAAGCTCCAACTGTTGACTCCTCAATTAATCCTGAAGTAACTATTCCTTCTTCCGTCAAAATCATTGTTCCACAAGTTGTATCCCCTCCTTGGCCACTTAATGCCGAGCCTGAAGAGAAAAAACCCAAAAGGAGGTGGCTAGAGTCTGCTGATTAGTCACAGAACATCTTTCAGCCCATACTTCGAGCAAAAGGTAAAGAGATTTCAAATAAAGACTCGGCCGTCGAGGGCATGAATGTGACAGTGGGAATTACTAGGGGCGTGATTTTGCCACGCCATCTTGTTATGAACGAGGTAGC